CTTCAGACTCGGAAGCAGCAGAACACTCAGCAGCAGCAGCAGCAGCAGCAGCAGAGGCAAGTGCGGCCTCTGCAGCAGACGGCGCCGCCACAGCAGAGGCGTGCAGCCGCACCGGCACAAGCAGCAGCACCGCCGCCAGCAGCAGCAGCAGCAACAGCAGCAGCAGCAGCAGCAGCAGCAGCAAGAATGGCCGCATCTTTTTAAGCTGGTGGCCCAATGTTGATTTATTCTACAGAAAACTAACAGCAGCACAACGCCTCGAGTGCATGCGCCAGGGCATTTGCTTCCTGAGGCACCGTGCTGCTGCTTTCCGCATGCAGCAGCAGCAGCAGCAGCAGCAGCAGACGCACCCCTTAGCAGCAGCTGCCGCCGCGGCGTCCCGCATCCAGAGCTAGAAGCAGCAGCAGCAGCAGCAGTGCTGTCACTGCTTCCGTAAAGGCTGCAGCAGCAGCAATGCTGCCACTGTTTCCGTAAAGTCTGCAGCAGCAGCAGCAGCAGCAGTGCTGCTACTCCTTCCGTAAAGGCTGCAGCAGCAGCAGCAGCAGTGCTGCTGCTTCCGTAGGTGCTGCAGCAGCAATGCTTCCGTAGGTGCTGCAGCAGCAGCAACATCGCACAGGACCGAGCAGCTGTGCTGCTGCTGCCGTCTCAGTAGCAGCAACAGCAGCAATAGCAGCAGCAGCAGCAGCAGAAACGATGGCCTGCAGTGCTTGCTCCTGCTGCCGCAGCAGCAGCGTCAAGACTCTCTAGCAGCAGCACTTTTGCTGCTGCTACAGCAGCTGCTGCCGCTGCTGCTGCTGAACTTGTTCCGCTTTTCTTTGTCAATGCTTAGTAACACTGATCTGCCTTGCTGCTGCTGCTGCAGCTGCAGTCGACGGGGCAGCTGCAGCAGCAACGGCAGCACCAGATCAAAAAAGCGTGAGGGTCTGTGCTAGGGTTTAGGGTTTAGGGTTTAGGGTTTTAGTGTGAAGACAAGGACAGGTACAACGATGCAAAAAAGTTCTCGAGCAGCAGTTCCTGCTGCTGCAGCTGCTGCTGCTGCAGCTGCCTTTAGTCAGAAAAGCCGCTGCAGCAGCGACAGCAGCCGCTGCAGTTCCTGCCGCAGCTACATTCAGCTGTTGCTGCTGCAGCAACAGCAACAGCAGCAGCTGCTGCAGCAGCAGCGACAGCAGCAGCTGCTGCAGCAGTGGCAGCAGCAGCAGCTGCTGCAGCACCGCTGACAATGCGGCATTGAAAACACCTTAAGCGCCTGCGCCGCTGCTGCTGCTGCTGCTGCTGCTGCTGTCACCATTTCATTACGAAAGTGCAACTGCTGCTGCTGCTGCTCACTGTTGCCTGCACGAGTTCGGCGGCCCGTGGCTGCTGCTGCTACTGCCGCTGCTGCTGCTGCTTCTTGGGCGTGCAGCAGATCCCGCGCTCCCATCTGGCTGCTGCTGCTGCTGCTGCTGCCGCTGCATTTGCTGCAGCGCCCGCTGCAGCTGCCTCAGCTGCTCGGGTTCATTGATAAAAGCCGCGCCACTCCATTGTGCACTCTGAGCTGCTGCTGCTGCTGCTGCTGCCGCTGCTGCTGCTGCTGCTGCTGCATGGTCAGCAGCAGCTCTCTGCGGAAATGTGAAGACTTGCGGCTGCTGCCCAGAAACCGCAACACCAAAAATTCCTTCAATTCCTACAGTGGGGAACCTGCTGCTGCTGCTGTTGCTGCTGTTGCTGCTGCTGCTGCTGCTACGGCCGCCGTCACCGGTCCTGTTGCTGCTGCTGCTGTTGCCGCCCTCTGCGCGGCTGCCTGCTGCTTCGTCTGCTGCTCCCGCTGCTGCTGCTGCTGCGCTTGAAGCGTTTGCTGCAGAGAGTGTCGCAGCTCCTGCTGATGTTGCTTCTGCTGCTTGCTCTCCTGCTGCTGCATCTGCTGCTGAGTAAAGGGCAGATGAACGTTCCAGCTCCGGCTGCTGCGGCTGCTGCTGGGACTGCTGCTGCTGCGGCTGCTGCGACTGTTGTTGCTGCTGCGGCTGCTGCTGCTGCTGTTCCCCCAGCGGTGCTGCTGATGCAGGGCTCTGCTGCTGCGGCAACTGCGCGGCAGCAGCAGCGTGAGAAGCATCACTAGCAGCAGCCGGCGACTGGGTTCCTGCTGCTGCAGCTGGCGCTGCTGCTGCTGCAGTTGGTGCTGCTGGTGCTGCTGCTGCTGCTGCTGCTGCTGGATTCGGTATGCTAAAAGGAGGAAAGACAGGGGCTCGCATGAGGAGGGGGGCAAGTGCAGCATCAATCAGCTGCCGGAACTGCGGCTGCTGCTGCTGCTGCTGCTGCTGCGGCTGCTGCTGCTGCTGCTGCGGCTGCTGCTGCTGCTGCTGCTGCTGCTGTTGCTGCTGCTGTTGCTGCGCCGTCGCCTCTGCAGCTTCAGTGGGCAGTTCGTAGCGGCAAACAGGGCAAGTATTGTTCTGCAAACGCTCACACCCTAAACCCTAAACCCTAAACCCTAAACCGTAAACCCTAAATCGCAAGCTCCGAACAATCAAGCTTAGAGCCCCATGCCCCCAATCCCACCCTTCCTGGCCAGGGCGCGATGAACCCCCAAACCCTAACCCCAAACCCCAAACCCTAAACCCTAAACCCTAAACCCTAAACCCTAAACCCTAAACCCTAAACCCTAAACCCTAAACCCTAAACCCTACCCTTTCCAGCCAGGGCAAAATGCAAGCAGCATGGAAGCTGTGGCTGCACTGCCGAGGGTTTAGAGAAAGAGCAGCAACTTCGTCTCCTGCTGCGAAGTCTTCGTGGCAAATTGAACACGCGTCCATCTCCCCTGCAGCAGCAGCAGCAGCAGCAACGGCAGCAACAGCAGCAGCAGCAGTGTAAGGGACGCGGCAGCAGCAGCTGAGGCAGCAGGAGAAGCGGCAGCAAACGGTGTGGGGGAAGAAAGCGAGATGCTAGCACCACGTCTGGGGAACTAAACGCTGCTGCTGCTGCTGCTGCTGCTGCTGCTGCTGCTGCTGCTGCTGCTCTTACGTGC